TATATATATATATATATATATATATATATATATATATATATATATTCCCACACAACGTCTTTATTTGTTCTGATGTCCTACACTGCCTGAATAGTTAAACAAATGTTGGCACATATATACAATTTAAATAGCATACAGCAATAACAAGAAAAAAAATGACAATGCTGGAGAGGTTGTGAAAACATCAGAGCTTTCAAACACTGCTGGTGTTGCCAAGATAAAACAGTTAATTGTTTGCTAAGGACTGAATGTAGAAGTGCCCCCGAAGTTCACATGGTGAAGCTCTATTCCCCAATGTGATGAGATTTAGAGGTGGCGCCTGTGGGATGTTAACTATATTTAGAAGATATCATGAAGGAGAGTCCCTATGGTGGGATTAGAGCGCTTTCTCTCTGCCATATCTGCATATAACAAGAAAATGGTCACCTGAAAACCAGACACGATTTATGTCTGCACCTTGAACTTGGACTTCCCAGCCTCAAGAACTATGAGAAATCAAATTTGTTACTTAAGCTAGTTTGGTATTTTGTTATGGCAAAATGAGCTGAAGATAAAAATACTAAAAAATTAAGAATATATATATATTATATATATAAATCAGAAATTTAAATTTGCAAAAGGGAAGAAAGCCCAATATGAACTAAACTAAACTCTGACTTTTGGAGAGGTTGAAGTAGGAGTTTAGGGATATCAAGATGGCAAAGGCAGGATACAGGAAAAATGCCCTCAGAGTATAAAATATGGGGGATGAGTCATCTTAGTAATGTGCCCATGCAAATGTTTGTTCACAGATATAGAAGAGGGCTAAGAGGGGCTTAGCTAGTTTGGTCAAGGACAGCATCATTGTTAGTGGGAATCTAAAATGTTCAATCACAGACTTCTTGATTATTAAACATAGGTTTTCCATATGACCCAGCATTTCCACTCCTACACACATCTGAGAGAAATTAAATATATATGTTCACAAGAAAACTTAAATATTAATGTTTATAGAAACATTACTCATAAAAGCCAAATAGCATAAACAATCCAAACTGATGAAAGAATAAACAAAATGTGGTCTGGGTATAAATGGGATATTACTTGGCTATTAAAAAGAGAGAAGAATATGACAGACTTTTAAAATCATTTAACTTTCCTGAAAAGATAAGTCGAATGGTAATAATGGAGATTGTTTCATAACATATGTACAAACAAAACAGTGAACCATTGATAGAAAGGCTGGAAGAAGAAAAATGGAAGCACACTATTATTGGGATCTCATGTCATGAGTGACAATGTCACTTAAAGGCAGGATGTAATAACTTAAAGATATACATCATAAATACTAAACTATAAAACAAAGAAATAAAGTGATATGATCAATAAGTCAATAACATTAAATGAAAAAAGAAAATTAAATCAGTAAAAATGAAGTTAGAAAAATCATTCCATTAATCTAAAAAATAGCATCCCAATTTTATTATCATTTTTTTTTCTGAGAATTAGTGGGTCCAGTGATAGGGAATGTATGTAAAATACTTGGAACAATGGTTTGCAGAGACTAAGTGTCAAACATGATCTCTTGGATTTTATTTTAATATTGCCTTTCAAACAGAGAGAACAAACTTCTTCCCTATCAAAAGGCATCCAGAGAGTTGTCTAGAAATGCTTACCTCAGCTCCTTATTCCCCATGCTTTTCTCCATGCCCTGGATGTCAATTAGGATTTCATCTTCATTACTGCACCAAAACCTGTTGTCTTCAAGGTCACCGATGACTTCTATCTGGTTACTGTCCCTGGTTCTTCCTTAATACTTATATCTCAGAACAATTGGTGGCTTTTCATCACTTCTTCCTTATGATGTTCTCTTGATTTTCTTTTTTACTCATTGACTTTCTCGCCAATGTCTTCTGTTTCCCGTCTCCAGATGTTGAATTCTCAGGCATAGCATTTGGCGCCATCTGTTCTCTGGGCATGTTTACTTACTTGGTGTCCTTCCCAATGCCAGGACAGAACCCACAGCTGACGACTTCCACATTTATATCTTCAAATCTGACATTTCTCATGAGATTAAAACTCATACATTCAACCAATTAATCAAGATTTTATCTCAGAATTTTATTAGACAGCTGCATATAGGCACACCTTAGAGAGATCTTCCTCACCTGGCTCATGCTCATTATTTCCTCATCAAGACAAAGATCCAGGAGAGCCCTCCGAGGCTACTCGTGTCTTCATAGCTTTTCTCTGATTTTCTTACTTCGCCCTCATTTCCCTGTGTCTGTCCTATAGGCATCCATCAAAGACTCTCCGGAAACACATCAGAATACATCACTGTTTGGTGAGTCTCCTTGGTTTCCAAGTCATGTGGCATGTAAGGTGAATCCTATTGCACTCTTGCTTCTGAATGATCCACCCTAGCTTCCTCTCTGACTTCGCCAACTCATTGTCCCTCACTCCTGGCCTTCAAGGCACACCAGACTCTTGCTTTTTTGGGTGTTCCAACAAAACGGGACCACCTAACCTCATGTCTTTTACACGTTCCATTACATCTCCACTTCCCAGACATTTCAGTGCCCTCTGCCGCAAGGTACCTCCTCAGACACATGTTTCGTTGAATGCACCACTTTTGTCATAGTTCATTTTCCCTGGTTTACATTTCTTTAAAGAACTTAGACTTATATTTATTTATCATCTTACACTTATATTTATTTATGGTTCTTCTTCAGACCCCAAGCTCTATCTTTTCACTGATGTGAAAATGATTTTAGTTGAGTTCCATTCTGATATGATTTCAACTGAAAACTCATTGCTTTTTTGGTGTTTTCCTTTTTTATGAAAGCATGAATGTAAATTTTATTTTTTAAATTTGGTTGAGGCAGTATATGATAATCCCAGATGACATGAATTCCAACCAAATAAAAGCTATCAACCTCCATGACCAAATACAGTCTCAGTCATTCTGTTAATAAATAATTGCACATGAAATACATATCCAAAATATTATTAGACTTGTGTAAAAGTAAACATATAAAACAGAGTGGAAAAGATGAACCATGATTTTTGGCCAAGTTAGTAATGCTTTCTTTATGAAATCACATAAAACTTGTTGTTACTTAAGACCAAGAATATGAGTGAACTTGTATCATGCCCAAGTATTCACGCTTAGTGGAAGACCTAAAATTAAAATTCTTCTTCCAGAGTATTATCATGTTAAACTCACTAATCTGCCTAATTGAAACCCTACATTCCTGTATTTTCTACCTCCCAGTTTTTAAAAATGTCACTAGTGGGCTTGGCTTGCAGCTCACCTAGCATGTATCACACCCTGGGATCAATCTCTAGTATCTCCTAAAGAAATGACCAAATAAATTAAATAAAAGTATAACTATTATAGCTCTAATATTTATGAATTATTTCAAGTAATAAATGCCATATGTGATAAAAATATATTTTTATTCTTACAATTTTTCACTCTAACAGTAGAGATTGGTAAATAATTTCAACTAGGTACACCTAGAGGGATTAAAGAAGGAGATAAATTTTGAACTGCATGTTGATGAAAGGGAAGCAGTTAATAGCAACAAGACTCATAAAGTACTTCCCTAAAAGTGCTCTATGACAAGCAACAATGGAAACTTGGCAATTAATGATATATGAATAGAATTCTGTGTTCACAGGGACAGAATGGGGAATAAGGTTAATGAGAGGCAGTGTATGAAAATAAGATATTAAAAACCTTGAGTGCCCAAGAAGGAGATTAGACTACTTGAAGGTTTTGTAGCAGAGCAATGAAAGATAAGTGTTTACAAATCCTAGAACTATGTAGAAAAGGGATTGGTTTTGGCGGTAACCTGAGCTCAAGGAAGGTTAGTTTTCATTCCACTTTAGTAGTTCAAGTGAGAGATCAAAATGAACATTAGGGCAATGGTTTCAGCAGCAGAGATAAGAGACATTGCAAAATTATGGAGAAGGATCTAGTCCTAGCCCTGACTTAGTTTCTTATAACTGTTTGGGACAAGGTATCTAAATTATGTTTTAATATATAAAGGGGAAGTAATAAATGTGAGCTAGGTCAATGTGCTAATTTAAGAAGTTACATAGTCATTAGTGGCAAAAAATGTTCAAATGGCTTGTCATGAAAAAGTATTTCTAAACTACCTGTTCTTGCCACATGCTGTATTTAGGGGTTTGGGGTAGTTGTCACCAAAGGATGTGTAGATTCCCCCCAAAATTCAAGAAATAATCATTCTTCTCCAGGTTCAGTAACAAATGAGAGGCAAAGAAATTGAGGAAGCAGATAGTAAAATGTCACTTCATTAATGAAGAAGTTGTTGATAATAATTGCTTACCTAATTGTAGACCCAGTTGGATAGGAAGTGTCTCCTTCACACAAGTATCTACTCCAGAAAACCTAAAACATGAAGGAATAAATATTTTATTTCTTCCTCCCTCCCTACCCCTCCTCTTCCCTTCCTTTCTTCCTTCCTTCCTCCCTTCCTTCTTTCCTCCCTTCCTTTCTTCTTTACTTCCTTATTTCTTTCCCTCCTTCCTTTTCTTTCTTCTCCCTACAGATAGACAAATCCCAAACATAAAGGAGATGGGCCTTGGCTATTAATACCCTGTGATTATTCCCTGCTTCCCAGCCACAAGTTTACTGATACCTCTCTAGGCAAGGGTGACTGAGAGTGAGGGTCACAGTATTCTAATGCAAGGTCCTGGGAGGAAACTTACCAATGAAGGAATAGGTGTTCCTGCCAAGAACGCCAGCTCTAGGGACCAGGAGAGGCAGGCATGGAGGTAATCAAAGGTGAGTTGATACTCAGACGGCAACTAGCTAATGGTTTGTAGTTTATTCGTCCCACAATGTGGTTGACGTATAAACAGACTGGGAACAAGAACTGCTGGCTGGGGGTGTAGGTCAGGGGGAGTATGATGTATATCTACCTAGCTTCCAGGTAGACCCTGAGTTCAATTCCCAGCAACCCTCCACAAGAACAAGAATTGCTAAGACCGATATAGTAGACTTAAACGGGGTGCCATTATAGGGGTGAAGCAAGGAGAGAGCCCAGGTAGCAAGAAAAAAGGTGATTTCCATCTATTCAACCAACCCCCTCCAATCCTCAAATTATAGAAACTGGTGTGGTTGTTTTTTTTTTTTTTTTTTTTTTTTTTTTTCCTTTTGAGTAGTTCTGTTTTATCTGGGACATCATACAAATAGGAAAGTATAGTAAGTTATCTTTGCAAACTGGCTTTTGTTCTTAGTGATATGCCCCTCAGATTTATCTAGGTTACTTCTTGGATTAATAATTGATTTTCTTATATATAGCTGAGTAGTATGCCATTGTATAGATAAAGTATAATTTCTCCCTTCATCCTGTGAGGGATAACTTGATTCCTTCCAATTTGGGAAACTTATGAATAAATTAAATATGTAAAAGTTATCAGTAAAACCTTTACAAATATTTATTTACAGAAGTTTATCTATTGGCTTCAATTTTTAAATCAATTGAAAAAAAATTAACTAGAAATTCAATTGTAAAATCACACATTGAGACTACTTAGCTTTGTTAAAATCTGTCAAAATGTTTTCCAAATCATTCAGAACTCTTTGTATTCTCAACCACAAAAGATGAGACTTTTTAACACTGGATAGTTATCAACAATTCTCTTGGCAGACTTTTGTATGTGATCTCCTTACATTTTGATCTAATTTGCGTTTTGCCAATGAAAAATGATGATATAAATCTTTTCTAAAACTTTCTTGTCATTTACATATTTTTGGTGAGGAGTCTGCTTAAACATTTTACATTTATTAATTAATGGCGTGGTTTTCCCATTGCTAACTTTTAAGAAATTTTTGTATGCTTTGAAGATAATTCCTTTATCAGATATGTAATTTGCAAATATATTTCCTCCAGTCTATAGCATATCTCAGTATACAAAGCAGAACTAAATATGGAGATTAATTTTTAAATTCACATTATTTATTATAATTACTTTAGCATGGGAAATAATCTTGTCACTAGAGGATGTCCAAGGAGCATCTGGAGAAGGAGATCTCAACTCAGGACAAGTGGGGTTCATGCAATGTCCAAGAAATGAGTTTAAGGATGTGTCAGAAACATAGATTTATTTAGGAAAGCAGAGAGACATTCAAGGGAGAATGCAGGTCATTTTGTGTGTGATATGCTTTAGGTGCTTTTAGCTCTTAAAAAAAACTCTGCATGGAGATGTGAGTTGGTATAGGGGGATGGCGTCAGTCTGGTGATGGTTTCCTGAGGTTTCTTTGATCTCAGGATCCTTAGGTTGACATGCTCTCCATTTTCTGATCAGAAGATAACATTGGAAAATACCCTAGATTACATTCTTGAAATATTGAGTCTCCCCCTGCTTAGTCACGGTATTATGTAGGCTAGTTAGCAGTGTGCAGGTGACTTTCACGTGAGTGAACTTAAGGTAACTCAGATTTACAGATTTCTCAGAAACTTGAAAGTGACAGATCTGGAAGACAGAACTGGTTTAGGCAGTGACAGGCCTGGGAGGAAACCAGTGTATGGCTTTGGCATAAAGCATGAGCTTCTAGATTAAATTATAGTTTCCTTGTCCTTCCTGTTAGCTCCTTTTTACCTTTTATTTTTATGTTACCATATTTCCATACCTTAAAAATACACAAATTGGTGATATTCTTATACTTCAACCCTGGCATTTTTATGTTTATTTCATAAAAGTAAAATCATTTTCATTTTTAATAAGGGTTTAAGTGATTTTAAACTGTTTTCTGTTTCTTTCCTCTTCTTTCCTGAAGACAACATTAAGACTTTAATCTTAATTATTCCATGAATTATCTAGACCATTTCCAAGACAAACAAGTGAACAAATTTTCTTTTAGTTATTGTTCCACTTTTCATATTTTCTATTGAATAGATCACGGATTTCTTTTATAAAAGGGGCCACCAAAAACATGAAGATAATGGAATACAGTTATATTATTATGTATTCACAATCATTAAATCATTAAAAAGAATTCATCAGAGTTTTTAAAAGCATTATTTTTGAAAGATAGATTGAAATACTAATTCAGCTTGGTATTTTATTGAAATAGCATGTCTATTCAGAAACTGCTTCAACAATCAAAAGTAAAATGTTTTGTATTGTCTAAAAGAAGAATTTGCTTTTAATCGGTTTAAAATTATTAAATTTAGTTCATATTTTTAAAAATCATTTCTTCCATTTTAAAAGTATCTATTACATAGAACATATACTGTCTTCCCAAACATATGAAAGAAAGATGACGTTCTCTTATTCAAAGCAAAATGGAAGCAGGTAGAAGGTAAAAAT